TAGGTTGGAGGCCATCGCTATTAGGTATCACTATTAGGTTGGAGGCCATCGCTATTAGGTATCGCTAGTAGGTTGGAGGCCATCGCTTCTAGGTTACTGAAAAGAACCTGTTGCTTCAGGGGATGGCGATCCCTGGGTCCTCCAGGGATCAAAATCCTCTCCTGGACCTTTTCAGAAATTGGAGGCAAAAACCCAGGACAAGTGAACTTGTCTTGGAGGCAAGTGCAATGGACGGTTTTGGAGGACATTCTCAGAGGAGAGGCTGAGGCGTAGGCGCCACATATTTGGAAGGTCTGGTGTGGTCCACGTGTTCAGCCAAGTTCAGCAAGCCACATGCAATTTAGAGATACTTCAGTCGGAGATCGTCCAAAGTAAGTCCCATTCAGTACCTGCTGCAAACACACCTTCCATTCCATTGATTTGTAACGCGCTCTACAGATCTACATGATTTTTTAATCCGCAGAATCAACATCTTTTCTACTGTGTTCCCTTCAAACAGAGGCTTTCGGTGATTGAGCTCCCTCATATATTCCTCGGTGACCTACCGTTGCGTCCGCGCAGCTGCCACGCTCAATGTCGGGCTGACACCCCAAGAAGGCGCGGTCCGTCACACCGAAGCTGTAAAGGAGCAAGGTGTAGAAGGACCTCGATTCAACGTACACAAGGAAACCCGTCCACAGGAAAAGGGCCAGAGCTGCCTGAATTCCTGCCTCATGTTTTCTGGTCCACGTGTCCAAGAGATTCCAAGAGCCATCATGAAATCATGATCTGATTTACTGAGAAACTATAGCAAACAAATGTGCGTCTGATTTACTGGTCGAAGCTTTCCGAAGTGCGCCCATTTCGCACCCATGAGGACCCGGGACCTTCTGGGAAGTCACATTGAGTTGTACAGACCGCTTCAGTTTCCATGGGAGAAGCAGGTGAACCTTGTTCATTCTTTAGTCCACTTAAAACCACTTGAGGGACAACAAAAGGGGTTCGACAACAGAATTGTTTTCGAACCATGTCCAGCGCTCGTCTGTGTTCATGGGCTTTCGTCCGTTCATTTGATGTGGGTTGCAACTTGAACACCGATTGCTCATAATTGCTCGCCATGACACTCATCTAAGGTGCTAAACCTCAGGTTGAGCGGAGCATGTGCGGGGAAAGGTGCTGCACCATGTGTGGGAAAGCATGTGTGCTTCATGAATCTCATGAATCTCGTACCTTGTGCTGTTATGTATGATCACCTGAGCAGATCGCACCGCCACTGCGTTTTCCAAGGAACTGCTGAAAAATGTCACCGAAATAGAGCGTCATCAGCAGGGAAAAGCCTCCAACTCGTGCAGTTCACCCCGCGTCTCGACAGCTGGTAACACCATCAGCAACACAAAACATCACTGAACCAAAGGACATGGATCGACCGGCCCTCTCCACCGTTGTGGATCAGAAATTCAGCCCCTAAGACCAAGATGCATCAAGATGCTATCAAATGATATTGTGAAGAGGCTTTTCAAACCTGTTCGTGAACGGATGCACTTTCGAGAGGTAACGAATATGTGTCATTGTATACACGTTGTATAGTTATGTTGCACTGGTGGTCACTGATATCAATCCAAAGGTTGTAGGTTGCAAAACACTTGAATTACAGTATATAGATGTTTTTGCAGTCTTTGTATGTTTGTCTGGGCGAACTATTCGTTCATATTCGTTCCAACTCCAAAGGACAATCCGCCAAGGTCAAAGCCCCTTGGTCAGAGTCCCTTGGTCAGGTTCTCACTCGTTCTGTTCGATCGGCGACAAACAAAACAAGAAGGTGGAACCGGTGGAGCCTCCTTGCTGTAGCAGCTCAAGCAGGGTTTCCGGTGTCTTTGTAATGTTCCATTTCCTATGTGCTAGTCTTCCTGTCTGGTTCCACCAACTGTCAGTACTCAACATGACTCAACACCCGGCGCGGAGGCGTGGCCGCGTTTGGGGGCATGACGCCCCATCCATCAGCCTGCCACCAGACAAACGTATGCGATGAGGAAGTTAAGGAGCTTGGTCTTGGCGAGAAAAAGCCTCAGCTTGCAGTCAGAATCATGAAGGGCCATGGTCATCAGGCAATATGCCTGAACTCTTATACTGTATGATGGCAACGGAGAAAAGCCACACGCTGCTCACACTGCACGTGGTAACGACCGGTGCTGACCGTGTGGAGCCGTGTGGATCCGTGTGGGGACTGTTTCAGAACCGAGGATCTTACAGAACCATGGGGACTATTTCAGGGCCATGTGGAAGCAAGCGACTCACAGCAAGAATGACCATCGTTCGAAGATAGTCGAACATGGGGTATCCAATGCTAAATGTACACAATACCAACGAAAAAGTCGAACAACAAGTTGAATAAAAAGTCGAGTATGCAGTGCATAGTATGCAGCTGTAGAAAAGTTCAATGCCTCGTGGGTGATGGGGGTGTCTGAGTCCGGGCCTCACCTCACCTTCCACGAGCCAAGTCCTGTTCGGTCGTGGGGGCCGACGCATGAGCGCACGAGTTCTGGGTGCCACTGGGAGAAACCACACGAGCTCGGCGATTTTGGAAGTTTGGTTTCGCACTTGATCCTTAAGAGGTCATTGGAGGTCCCATATCAATTCCATGGAGGTCCTTGGACTTTAAGTTTGAGCAGTTTGAGCACCCCTCCCATGTTCAGATCCTGATCTGGGTTCACGAAACCTGCCCCCCTCCTTCCACCTCCTTCCCTCTCAGCCTTCTTCCGCCGCCCAGGCACGTCCGTGGGAGCCACTTGAGCCGGTCTGAAAGGCTGAAGGCTTCCAAGAGGCGACACATGATCGCGCCTGCCGGTCACGCCGCGCTGGGTGCGGTCGGTGACGAGCTGTCGGTCTGGTCACGTCGGTGTCAGTAGGGCTGGCTGCAAGTGATGTGGAGTGTGGAACGCCCTAAGCTTTCTGACCAGTCAACTTCTGTCAGTCTGGTGCCCATCAACCGTTGATCTGTAAGTACCGCAACCGAGGCCCTGCAAATTGCCTCTCGAGCCTCACATCCGACATCCGGGGATGATTTCGATCCATCCATCATATATTCCATAATCATCATGTTTCAATCTTTTTTTAGGGCTCTCACGGACACATTTATGATTCTCATGTTTTGAACCTCCAAAGCTCAGAACCCACACCAGCAGCTGCTGGTGCGCAATTCGCGCGCAAGTTCAGCTTCTTTTTGGCTCCGGCGGGCCACCCCCGGGTGGCGCAGCAGGGTGCGGCACCGTTCTCGGCATCACCTGGGCGGCGAATTGAGGAATCGCCAGGGATCTGGGACACTGATCTTGTGAATACTGAAATTCCATCAAATTGTTGCTATAGCAGATTGAGAGTAAGCACAGACCCCCAATGTCGGTGGTTTATATCGACCCCATCTGCTCTGAAACCACTGTAAATCTGTCCCTGACATTGTGAATCTCTTTGTGAATCTCGAATAGGGAGGTATTCACATGGGTTTAATGTGTTTCGACCCCTAATGTAGACTTTTGATGGCACCTGTCCCGGGTCACATCAGCCTCTGCCATCTTTTTCCAACAAAACTATAACCCCACGCTGGGACCTGGGATGCTCGCTTCCGAGCGGCGCAAGGCAGGAGCCTCCCAGTCCTCTGGCGCTCCGTCCGTACGCTTCATGACCACTTCGAAGGTGTCCTGAGCCGCAGCACCGGTCGGAGCGTCAAGTGGATGGGTCGGAATGGGATCTGAGACTCAAGTCTGGTCAACTTCAGAGAGTCTGAGATGATAGAAACTATATAGGTGAGTTTTTCATGGGTTGTTGGATGTTGTTGGCGTCGTTTTCGTGGTTCTCACCCAAAGAGTCTTGGACTGGGAACTGGAAATTACATCCCCTGATACCTACTCTAGGATTCGTACGGTGAGGATAATGCAACCAGCACCACCCAAAGGGTAGTTTATAGAACCCCCCCTGACAAACTGTTTACCATCCAATAACAATCCTTTGGGTGGTGCTGGACCGAGAATTGCAGCTTTTCTCTCTCCATCAATTGTTCACATCCAAGATGAGGGAAAATTCCTCGAGGTGGCATGGATTGCCCTAATGCTGCAGAAACTCCTGTGGCTGGCTATGAGTTCACCCGGAAAACGACCTGACCAATCACCGCCGATTGATTCCACCACAAACCTCACCAAACTTCACCGTCACAAGTTGTCTATGCCCACTGTCTGGGACGCTCCAACCTCCTTGAGCTCCAGCAAATGCGTCATGGTATTGATCCCCACGACCAGGAAGCGCGCGTGACCGCTCCCTTTCGGTAGGCGCCAAAAGCCAGCGCCCCACCTGGAAGGTTCGAACCCAGCAAATGCCGCTTTCGGATGTTGGGCATTGGGCTATGTTCTTTTCTGGTGATTGGTGGTCCAAAGTAGAGGTCACTCAGGTTCGAGGTAGAGATATCCGAGGCCTTCTGACCACACATATATATATATATACGTACTGGACCAGAGACCAATAAGACTTGAGATCGCAAATCACCAAATGATTAAAACCAGGCGCTTCCGAAACACCCGTCGATGTTGGATGGTCAATGGTTCTGAGGGCCACTTCAAAAGATTCGAAAGGAACCAAGACCAAAAACATGCAGGTGATGCGCAAACACGCACTGTGATTATAATTAGGAAATCAAGAATTCTGGACAGAGCCTGCCGCTTCAGAAATGGAGCCCACTAACCCGGGCGGGTCAAAGGCACCTGGAAAAATTGGAATTAAAAACAAGAACACTTTACCAACACAAAACTGTTATATAATGTTATATAATATACTTCATGTCACTTTGCTGTCAGTGATCACATCCGCTAGAGTTCCAAGCCACAGTTGGTTGCAAAGAGCTTGCCATAAAAAGTCGAATGAAAAGGCAGAATCCTTGCTAAAGTGTAAGCATCAAAGAACGGAATTGCGATTGAGATGGTAGATCCCAACACAAAAAAGAAAGAACCCTTCGATCCAAATGCTGATTTTAAACAACAAACTGGACTAAACATCCATACCGTTCCAGATCTTTCAGACCGCCGGGGTGCTTGCTGCTGAGCTCGCCCTTCTCTCCAAACTCGATCCAGCCATTCCTGCTCGGACACTGGGGGACACCGCGACAACAGCCTGACCGGACCGGTGGACCATGGTGGAACCGTAGGAAAAAGAACCCTGGTCATCCCTTATAGCCATTGGACCGGACCTACGTCTTCCGGAGGGGTCGCTGCACAGGAAACCGGCATGACCGAGATGCTACGGCAGCGCGAGACTTGCACTCGCCAAAACCCAAATGGGCTACGCAGATCATTGACTGGACAGCGAATCTGGAATACACGCCTCGGCGCTTGTTCGGAAACATCTTGTTGAGGGGTGGTATAAGGCACCTCCAAATCCAACTGGGTCTGGAGCCGCATAAAGAAAGAAGAGGCCAAACACATGCTTGTTCATGTTTGTACATGCGTATATGGTCCATATGTCTTGGTACCTTGTCCACCACGTCTTCGTCCACCCATGTTTGCCAAGGCTCACTCGATTCCCGTCATGCGCCCAGCACCAGCGCAAACCTCGTGCCAAGCAGCTCTGATTTGGGCTGCACCCATACGCGCAGACTGGTGGACTAGAACAGGTGCATTGTTCAATTCAAGACTTACTGATTCGATTGCAGATGTTTTTTGTAGTTTGGGTGTGTCAGAAAGAGCATGAAGTGTTCGCTTCTGACCCCTGGTGCAACCGCTTAAGCGTAAAAGATCAATGTCCAACCGCTTGGGTCAGCAGGCTAAACATGACCCGCCCCTTGGAAATTCCAATCATTCGGATACAAGCGGGCGAAAACGTCGCCCTGTTCTTCAAAAAGAAACCCCTAGCCTTCAAAGACCATGAAAAGAACGGTTTACCTGGTTTTGTCGTGTAAATTCCTGAGTAAAACCATGCTTCTTTGGTAAAGATGGCTTAAATCCATGGTTGTTGGAATCCTATACGGATGAGACAAGGGTCCACATGTTTGGCCCACCCCGCGTGGTTTTCGACGAAGCGTGGTGGTACTTCCACTTCGAGTCACCCTGCACGCGCCACAGCTCCGGGAGGTCGTTGGGCTCGTGGGCGGGGTCGCGGTTCCGAAGCTCGAAGGGGATCCAGCCGCGAAGACCCCAGCTGGGGCGGGTGGCCTGTTCTCATGCGCATTGGAGCGCAAAAACAGGCTCTGAGTGGCAAAAAACACGACGGATGGCGTAGTGACGGTGATGGTTCCGTTCAATGCTCGGTGCCGGTGAAAGGGGGGAGTATATGTTGGGAGGCGGCTGCCACCCGCGCCATAGACAGCAACTCTACCTTTTTGTGTTTTTGCAGCCTTGCTGGGGTCGCTCGGTGGTGGTGCGGCCTTCACCTCTAAAAGATCTATATATTATATTGTAATCTGTTTACCTGGTTTTGTTGTGAACAGTCCTTAGTAAAACAATGGTTCTTTGATGTTCTTTGGTAAAGACAGCTTAAATCAATGGTTGTTGGAACCCTAACGTACAAATGGGTAAAGGTTGATGCTCAAAGCTCACTCAGTCACCAGGGACTGGTGAAAATCTCGCGAATGCTCCCCTTCCACTTAATTAGTTATAGCTCCTTAATCATGGGGTTCTGCATGGGTTCTACTCCCAAAACCCTTTTTCATCCTTTTCCCATCTCCTTAGTTCATTCGAACATCTGTTCGAGTTCCACTGAACCAATGGACCCGCCCTGTGGACTGAAACCCCGAGTCGGCTCGGAGTTCCGAGGCCGGTGGACCGAAGCGGCTCGCAACGCGAGCGCTCGCAACGCGAAGCCGTGAAACCGGTGGGGTGTCAAGACTGGTTTAAGGAGAATGAGCCGGACACGGTGCAAACTGCTATAGCATTGGATGATGAAATCAAATAGTCTCCAGATAGCTCCATACAGCTTATGGCAGAAGATTTCGATGTGGCAACCCCCAACCAACCAGCGTGGAAAGTGCATAACAAAACCGGTGGATGTTCATCTGAATCCAGAGAACCTTGATACTTCACCCATCCTCTGGCATGCAAAACAGCATGCCAAAGGCAGCAACAAACTTCAACACCCAAAACACCCGAAACACCCTCGCCCTTCGCCACTCCGCCACTCCGCCTCCGGTATCTCTTCGGGCGACACCTTCAAAGTCCAATGAAGCCATTCAACTTCTACCTCGACTCTTTCGACCCATTTGGCGGCCTCAGCGTCCGCGTCCGCACCTGCGCTTCTGCGCCTGTAGATTCATACCTCTCTCAAGCAAATGGTGCGTTTATTTTTTTTCCCGGATGTGAGCAAAAGCGAAAAAGGCAAAACGAAGACTTGCAGTCTGAGAGTCTTCCACTTCACCACAGCAAATACACCTGAGTTCTGGTTGGTTTAGGGTGATTGAGAAGGCCAGGGGAAAAAATCTGCCCAAAGAAGGATCTGCGGTCATTTTCCGGATGGCAAAAAAGCTGCACTGCTTCGAAACAGCCACAAAGTACCTACAACATCCTACAACTACTGATGGTGGTCCTTCTCTTTCCTCTCAACTGCCCAATGTCCTCTCCCCTTCCGCACCTGGACAGCAGCTGCTCGTGTCCCGCCGCGGAGATCGCGCTCTTCCGCTGCGGAACGGCGTCCGCCGGAGCCGTCGGCGCGTCCAACAGCATGGCGAGGCCTGCCAGTTGACGCGGGAGAGGGCGGGGGCCAGGGGTGCCGCTGGTGGCGAAGAAACGCAACGACCTGTTGACCTGCACCCAGATGGAGTTTTTACCCCCTGTTTTTAGGAAAATGGTCTTCCAAGCTTCCATGCCATCCACTTCGATGCTAGTTTCAGGGAGTGTAGTGGCCCAAAGGAGAAGTTCATGAAGCCGTGAAGCCCATGAATTGCTCCGATTCACGAGCCGTTTCACTGTGTTTCATCCCATCCGATCGCCGTGGTTTCGCCGCCTGGAAACTGGGAGGGCCAACTCTTTCTGATCGGACGCGCCGCCAGGCTCTTCAAGCGCATCAAAGACACCTCGCGAAGCGGCGAGGTACGCGCGAGACGTGCCAGTTGTTCGGTGTAACTGGGTTCAGCTGAGTTCGGGCGCCACGACGCGAAGCAAACACCACCCCAAAACGCCGTGGAAAAGGAACATTGACACCCATCACACAGCTTTGGTGCAACTTCGAGGAACATCTGCATCCACACCTGCAGATCCGGCGCCAACTCGCAGCTGGCGCAAAAGCGCCCGGAGCACTCATCGCCTTCCTTGGCCGGAACCTCGACGCGCAGGAGGTGCAGAAATGGCCGCGGCGCCACCGCGCTGTCATCCTTGGGCACGGTGCTGCGCTGGAGGCCCACGAGCATGAGCACTGATGGTTGGTGGGTATTTTTATCCGGCTTAGGCCTTGAGGAGTCCTTTTTTGTATACCTTGACGAAGATCATCAAAAGTACCAAGCTTGGTAGTGGTCGCAAGGATTCATCCAAGGCCCCGGCAGCGATCCAGCAAACCCGAAGACCAACGATCCAGCAGACCAGTTCCAAAATGTTCCATGTGCCAGACTTGGAGGATAAGAGGTGCTAACACCAAATCCACAAGACATGTCTTGTCCAAAAACCACCCCAACTGTCAAACTCCTGGGAGCCTTCGCGTTGTTTTGCTCCTTTGTTTTTCCATGCGTTTCCTCTGTTGTTCTACGTACGCTACCATACGGCTCGGGGAGTCGAGCTTCGGGGAGTCGAGACATGTAAGAAAAGGCCGGGGTGTCGGGCAACGGGTGGAATCCAGTCGTTTAGGAGGGGAATCATCCAGTGGTTTACGAGGGGGATCATCCAGTGGTTTAGCAGGGGGATCATGTCATGTGTGTACCAGCACCTTCATGTCGGGGTGGTTTCAGGCCGGTTTCGCCCGGACGCCCCTTGACGCCCCTTGACGCAGGGGTGGTGTGAGAGTCGAGTTGAGTTGAGTCGACGGGTGGTCACCTGGTCGATGTCGGAGCCGTACCCCAAGAATCCCAAAGAAACAAGGATCACAATCCCACAACTTGAGATACACCCGGACTCACTAGCATGGAAGTGGGAAGAACCCAGTAGTTTTCCAAAGGCCTATTTTCCACTCCCAGGTTTGTGAGTCAGAGTGACCTGAGAGTGTCTGGTTGGGCGCACAAAGACCTGAGAGCTTCAGCTTCTACCAAATGCCATGCTCAGACACCACCCAAACCCACCTATCACAGTACATGTTTGTGGTTTAGGAATTCACATCAAAGAACAGTACACCATAGTACACCCAAACTTCCATCTTCGCAGAGTTTTGGGGGACTCCTCTCCGTGGACTCTGCCGCTGGGTCTCCTCGAAATTCACTGCATTGTACTTTGCATCGCAAATCACCGGGTGCCCTCGGGCGCGCGTTGCGGGCCCAGCTTGGGCCCGGCTGGAAAGACGCTGTCTGCCGTCCTTTTTGTTTCGGCCCCTCTGGTCATGGACTGGAAGCACATCTTTCCAAGAAATGAGCGAAGCAGAACCCTTCAGGCCATTTAGGAATGAACAGTCTCTGGGTGATTCAATGTCTGAAGTTCCAAACACAAACAACATGCAACCAATGGAAATGGCTCAGGTTTTGGGATCGCTGGCCTGAACATTACTTCCGGAGTCGTCCCCCATGCTTCATGGAGAAGAAAGCATGAAGCACCTGGCAGTGTCTTGAATGTCTAAGGGTGGAGGAGTTCTGTTGTTCCCTACTTGCAGGATTTCAGGCCTGCTGGCGAATAAGAACCCTGCAAGCAGCAATTGCTGTCCCAAAGGGCCACAGAGGCATAGTCCACCAGACTCTGGGCGGCTTTGGGGTTCAATCTCAATCCATCCCAAGTGTCAAGAGTCCTCCAGCCAGCTGCTAGGAGTGTCAAGATCTCTAGACCCCCTGACCTTTTGGGCTCCTACTCATCCCACAAGACTAAGACGTGCATGTCTCCCGGTCTCCTTGGGTTCCAAACAAAGCTTCTCGATGGTTCAAGCCTTCCGACGTCCCAAAAGGCCTTTGCTTTTTCGCCTAAGGACCGAAACGAAGCCTCCGTCAGCCTAGGCTTGAACCTCCGTCAGCCTCCACGACGAGACGCCGATGAACGCCAGGTGCGCGTAGACCTGGTAGATCCGGTCGCTGTGGGTGGTGATCAGCACGAGGCTAAACCTCAGAATGTCGCCGATCTAGGGAGGAAACCTATTTGGGTGCCTGAATTGGCTAGACTACTGTTTTGGAGGGGGGTGGTATTGAGCACATTTGAACACCACCCCTTGGCTGTGGGGTGTCTATTTACGCTGGAAGGTGAGCTGATCGCCCATGAAACCCTCTGTCTATGATGGTTGTGAAGGGAAGGTCAAAATGAACTCTATTGAATATACGGGACTTTCGGACGCCTCAGAGAACTCATGTCATGTCGACCCTTTTGGATCATTTGGGGGGGAAGAACTCATAGCCTGACCCGAAATCAGGCCAGTCGGAACCATTTCACCCCGGTGATGTTCACGTGTCACTTGACGATACTTGACGGTAGCTCACACATCTGCCGCTCCATGTCTCAACTCAGGTGACACCAAAGGAGCAACAAGACTTCAGAGTAGGTGCCTCCGGTTGTGACACATCTCACCATCCAGGTGTGACCATCAGAGTGGGACGTTCTTGCGACGGTCCAGCTCGACCGGTGACCGAGAGCTGAAGGGATGACGTCTCTCCGTCGAGACGGTCACGGAGAGACGTCAATCAAGGCTCCAACCATCCTCAGAAAGGTGGCTAATGTAGACGTTTGATCATATTTCAACCCCCAGCCTGAAGAGCTTTTACAATACCAAACGGGGGGGGTTAAATGAATCAAGAGTCTACATCTGACCCTCCAAACCCACCCTCAGCTTGCTTCGAAATGGAGGGTTGGAGCCATAGGGGCATCTCAAGCACTCTCCTACATTCCTACCAACTGCAATGGGTGTTTGAATCAAAATTCAGGGATCGTTCCAGTCAATGACACATCGATTTCTCCACTTCCCCAAGTCTGACCCGAAGCCTTTTGGGGAGGGCCATGCCATATTTATATGTTCATCCTTTCTCTTCACTTCACCATACTTCATCCCCCCACCACCCCAGTTCGCAGGCTCCCGCCACCCTGGTTAACCTCGGGGGCCGAATTGGAATCCCCGCCCGTATCCCCTCATCTCCTGCGTCCGCGGCGCCAACGGCTGCGCTCCCAGAAGCTTACAGGGCCCTCCGCCGGCACCTCAAAGGTCTCCAGCACCTGGCGCCGTCGTCGCGCCGTGGCGCCATGGCGTGGGACCACCAGAAGCAAACAGAAGCCGAGGGTAGATCAGGGATCAAAGGGATCAGCTCATCTTCCCTCTTCCCTCCTCTACCCATCAACAGCCAGCCAGGTCACCTGGTAGGAGCTTCCAGCAGCCAAGCCATCCTTGGCACAGCAGATGGAACCTAAATCTCGGCCTCCATGGTCTTGCCACGGCAGCAGCGGCACCTCAATGAGACCTTCCACCAATACAAACGCCGCGAAACCGATGATAAAGGATGAAAAGGGCGAACCAAAAACACCCGCGACAGCCACACCCTAGGGATCCAGTCGTAATGTCGACTTCCTAATAGTAAATGGCCCGCGAATAGTACTAAATCTTTTCAAAAATCAATCGTAAATGGCCCTCAAATAGTACTAAATGTTTCCTTTCCTTTCCTTTCATTGTCCTTTCCTTTCCTTTCCTTTCATTGCCTTTCCTTTCCTTTCCTTTCCTATTTAAATCTATTTAAATCAAGATTTTCTAGGATTTTTTCTGGAATTCACATTATTTGGGGCCCACACTTGATCAAGGGGGGGGGGTTTATTAATAAGAGGCTCACATTACCCTCTGAGAAGATGATTGGAGGCACTGTTGGTGCCAAAACGTCGGGTCCAGTCGTACCTTCTGAGGTTCGGTACGACTGGATCCCAACGCGAAGACCCGCGCCTGGACATTGGTTCGGAGGCTCGGGCCAAGGCAGGACCATCCCGCATGGGGCACTCGTGATCCAAAAATCAATCCTGGAAACGGTGAATATGTTGTGTATATGAGAACGCCTACGCTCGCAATGTCTATACACGTCTATACACCAATGGTGACACATTGAGAAGATATCACGTGGATCTTTTTGTACTAAACACGTTGAAGGACAGCAACATCAGGAGTATTACAGCAAGACGCACTCACCCAAGGTTTTGCGACGGCAAAAAGCCCTGCTCATGGTGTAGGTCTGTCATCCTCCACCTGCGTTGCCTGTTGGAGATGAGCCGGCAAACCCATCTTTTCCTGAGGAGAACTTATATAACCGGTTCGGGATGCAGCCTGACCATGGGCATGAAGCAATGGCAGCTCGAAAGCAAAACCCAAAACTGGGTTGGTTGGTGGTTTCAACGGCCGAACATGAGACTCGTCAGCGGGTGAAAAATCCTCCAAGTAAAGGGTGAACATAAGAATCTCTGAAACCACCACCCGAAGAAAAAAAACAGTGGGACGGGCCTCCAGCGCCCGGAAAAACGGACCACAGACCATCACAGACCTCTCGCCTCGACGGGAGGATGTCCTCTCGCCCAAAGATCCCTCCACCAGCGCGATGTATTGCATCAGCACATGGCCCTGACCTGAAGGAGAAAGTCTGCACAGCTATGTGGTACCATGTATACACGATAGATAGATAGATAGATAGATAGATAGATAGATAGATAGATAGATAGATAAGATAGATAGATAATATAGATAGATAGATAGATAGATAGATAGATAATATAGATAGATAATATAGATAGATAGTATAGATAGATAGATAGATAGATAGATAGATAGATAGATAGATAGATAGATAGATAGATAGATAGATAGATAGATAGATAGATAGATAGATATAGAGAGAGATTTTAATATATATAATTATATATACCAGCAGCATCTTCAATTGGATCACCAATGGAAGCCCTTATACACTATTATCCAGGATCTCCAGACAGGACACCCCTTGAAGGTCCAGGATAGTTTTATATGTGTATATATATATATATAGTAAGATGGTGGCCAAGGGTGACCGTTTTCGACCTCCGCTTGTAGATGCAGTTTAAGGTATCTTCACTTCAATAGGGCAATCTGGCATTCCACGAAAGGAATAGGGCCCGCCTCAAGAGGATTCAGTGACCTGCTGGTGGCTCCGAAATCAGTGGTCTTAAGGAAAGGTAGACCAGACCGTGCGTGTTCGCGGGTCGTTGTTCTTTGAAGCCATAGCCACTGCGCCATGAGTGACATGTGGACTTTAAGTCCGGGAACCCCAGGGCTGCCGGAACCGCATGATATTGTTCTTGGCCAGTGACCACATTTGACCACCAACCACTCATTGACCCGGACATGGCACCTGTTTCGCAGGGTGACAGTGCACCCGATTCATTTACAAAGGATGGATCAATGGTCCAAGCTGAAAAGGACGGGTGCTTTTGTTGGTGACCAAGTTTTGAAGAAGGGCCAAGACATGTCTGAGCATGCATGGCCCCTACCCTTTCATCCCCAATTGTGGTGGCATCACAGAACAGACCATCTTGGCTGCCACTCCACCTGGGGGCGGGCAGGGTGCAGCCGCTGTGCAGCTGCTCCAGCTGTTTGAGTGACCATGCCTGACCGCACATCCTGAAAACACAGAAATGCACCTGAACACTAAGTGCACGACATGGGTGCAAGATCCTGGATCTGCAAAACCCCAAAACACCCTGCTTCACCAAGAGAACCACCCACCGTGCTGCATCGACACTCCATCGCCGCCCCCCCTTTTGATTGAGAAATTGCGCCGTGCTGCGCCGCTGTGCGAGATACTCCTCGAAGGCCCTCGAGGACTTGGCCATGAGCTGAAGGCCACTGGTGTTCGTCTCCTCAAAAAACCGAAGCCGGGAGACGCTGCCGTTCATCCCACGGACACGGTGCAGGGATCGGACCCGGTCGCAGAGCGGTCTTCTATGCTCTAACGCGGCGCTGTGCAACATTATGTTGTGGTCTTCTGATGTTATCTCAGTTATCTCTGCCTGGTCAAACTCCCCCCCATGTCATGAAAGCACTCCCAGCTAATTGCTCATCTCCATCTTTTCACTGTTACACCCATCACTCCCCCAAATGCGGGTCAAACCCCATACCCTAGTAACGCCCTAGTAGCACCTATGCTGCAAGCCGAGTCTGAGAGCAATTGGCTTCAGGAACGCGGCCCAATCCCCTGCTGCTTTGGCGCCAGCACCGAGCACGTAAGTACTGGGAGCGACCGAGATAAAAGAAAGAACCAGGAGTCATAAAGGGATGGTTTTTGTCCCTAAGTGAGTGGACCCTGGGCACCCCTATCCTCCAATGGGCACCCGTATTCTCCAATAGGCACCCTGGAACACTGCTTCCCGTGCTTGGGCAAGGAGCCAAGCGGTGGCAAAGTCGGCCCCCAAGGCCTAACCTCGCTGCGAAGGGCAAATGAGGGGTGGTTGAAATTCACTGTCCACACAAAAGATGCATGGGAATGTTGAGGATATTCTGGAGAATGGTTTTGAGGGAGGTCGCTCTCTCAACGCCATGATCTTGAACACGGTATGCCGGTGGCAGGGAAGGGGGTAGAAGGTATTTTTCACAAACAAAGGTATCGGATGGCGATAGTTCCTAGTAAAGTTTGCATACTAATCTTTCCAAGGCTATTGGCGTGACACTGACAAAAGACCCTTGGCCAAACCATTGAACATATAATTGCTCAAAATAAGTGTCCACCAATTTTCTGTACGTAGTTTCAGACACTGGATAATCAAGCAGGCAGAGATCGCTATGGGAATTTCCGCAATTCCCACCCATTCCCGAATCCACACAAGACGTGGCTGACTTGAGATGCAGGAGCTGTGGTCTGCACTTCATAACTGTATCTGCAATACTTATAAAACCTGAAGCCCATAACACCCTTATAACCTCGTCAAAGTCTTCACCGAAAGTACTTGGGGAGGAGTAGAACCAGGGGGTAGATTCCTGCTCCTGGCCGGGCTGAGCCGTGTCCCAGGCGTTTGCACATCGAAGTCTTAAGACTTCGCAGGAGTTCCAGCCATCACGGCCGTCACAAGGGCCGTTCCGCTGGCCGTCCTCCGTTGGCCGCGGGGCTTCTGTTTGACCACGTGGGCGAAGTGGTAGGCATCGTGGCCCGGAGGCTTCATCCTGGCGTCAGCTTGCGCCAAAGGGCTGGCGAACCCAGGGGTGCGTCGAGTGAAATGGAACCTGAATGAACCTGATGTCATGAACCTTGGGAAGACGATGTGGGTTCCATGATATGAACCTGAAGACGATGTCATGAACCTGAAAATCACAGATGTCATGATTCTCTATTTTCCTCCGTGATTTTCAGGTTCCATGTGGGTCTCTTCCAGGGCGTACCTGAAGATTCAACCCCTTGGAGGAAGACCAAAAGATCCATGCCTGAAGATTCCATGCGGCGCAACAATGTAGAGTGTGGCTTCATCATGCTTCGGGTACAGTAAAAGACGTCCACTCCGTAGAACACGACGAAGTCCCGAAGCAGTCGAAGATGGTAGAAGTGGTTTAGCATGCCTCTTGAGGCACCAAAAGTGCCACAGTCACTGGCAAAAAGAACGCTACTAGGGCTCCTGGCCGTACTACTAGGAGCAGGACGCTACTAGGGGCTCCTGGCCTTACTACTAGGAGCAAGGGCATCGCTATTAGAAACAATACATTAAAACATTAAAACTAAGAAGGAAGAGAAGAAAGCCCGTTGACCTGCTGACGAGCGTCAATGCCACGTAGTCAGAGGTCTCATGCAAGAGCTCAACGTCCCAAAACCTGAAAGTCATGCGACGGGACGGTGCTGCGACGCCATTGAAGGAGGTCACGAGTGATGACAAACGCATACAAACGCCATGGTCGATGAATGGTGCCACCCACTCCAAGGTGGCCACCAAAACCCATCGCCGTGCGACTCCCTACGAGGTCATATCCACAAGCAATGACTTTTCCACCCTGGACCTCCTGCAGGTTTTCAGAGGGGTGCTACTGCTCCAAATCCAATCAACTGGTGGTCCATTCCAGAGCGTCAAATGATGGTCACTCGCGGACCTTTGGGGAACGCATTCTAGTCCTGTCCATTGTATCTGATTCGGATATGGATCGGACCCGCTGTTAGAGGAATTCCATGTTGAAACGAACCTCCTTTAATTTTATATTTGTAAAATAATCCATGACTAGTGAAAATGAATCATGACTGAATTCAACCAATGTGTGCTTCTTTAGCACTCCCTTTGGGGAGCAACATCCAAAAACCTACATGATGGTTAGAACTTTTGAACGAAGCGCGGTAAGCAACCGCAAGTCGAGGAGTGTTTGACAAAAAACATCAAAAATATGAGTCATATGAGTCTCTACCATTCTCTAAGTACATGTCTCTATACCATAAGTCCCAGGCAGCTGTGGACAATTAAAAAGTTTGAGCAAATCCAGCAGTAAGTCTTACCATTCAAAAGTCTTGTTATAGGACACGATCACTTCCAACCGGTACGAGTAGTGGTTTACTCTTGCCAAAATACTGCATATCGACCTGTTTTAAAACCTCTTTCACCTCAAGTTTACGACCTCGTTCTATCCTTCCAAGCTGCTGGAAGGATGGCTTGAGGCCTTTTGTGACCTCCACAGGACAGCTGCGCGCTGGCGCTTCCACGATGGCGCTTCCCACGGCGAAGGCGGGGTCTGTAGGATCAAGCGCCGGCCCTGGGAAAGCACGGCCGACCGTCGTGGCGTTGCGGGGTCTTCGTGCGGCATGTCCATGACCTGAAACCGACCTTCCACGACTCAAAGCTCGTTGGTTCGACTCCGGTGCTCCCCACCTGCATAGAACCAGCGCCAGGTCTTCCGTCGCAAGGCGGTCTGCCCATCACCGTGTTCCCAGGTGAGCCCCAGCTCGGCGGCCGAGGTCTGCAGCGCCGACTGGCCAAAGGCGAGCACCCAGCGCCAGGCGCAGCTCGTGAGGCGGGACCAAACATTGAAAGGCCTGCCATGGCGCGGTGCGTTGGGTCACACGGAAAGGAGCCCGGAACGTCCAATTGGCTTTCCATCTTACACCCTGAGCATTGAAGACAGTTGACGTTCCGGATTACATGTCAACACTCGCGGTTGCCTGGCGTTTGGCCCACGGGCCACGTTGGGAAACCAATCCGGAGACCCCGGCCGCTGGGGTTCGAACGTCATGTTCGGTTGAAAACAGTCTTAAGCCAGTCCATCCAGCGGGTCTCCCTCAGTCCATCCAGAATGTGCATGCGACTCTTTGTTTCTGTTTGGTGGTCACACCATACACGTCCTTGTTTCTTTCTTATAAAAGCAATTAGTCCATATATTAATATTCCCTATGTACAAGACCCAGATCCATCCATCAATTAATTGATATTAATTGCACCCATCCCAAGCCTTGCTGGGTTCGCGCCGGCATCCGGAGCCAGGTCCGAATTGGATGTCTGCAGAATGACGCCTGCCGCTCCCTGCGCTGGAAGGGCCTTCACATGGGGCTCCAGCCTCGGCTGTCTGTGCTGAGGACCCATGGTCCGGTGGTGTGAGACTCAGCTGGACAGCGAACCATGGGTCGGTTGCTTTGACCGGGAAGCCGGGGTGCTGCTGGATCAGAAGATGCCATGTTCCAACAGCTCAACTTGCTCGGAGTGTTTTGTAGTATTTTTTTCTGGACAATCCGTGAGAGGCCATATTCTCCTTTACTAATTCGATGAGTGCGGGACATCGACACATTCTAGGCTTGAACTGGTGTTAGACCGGAAGGGAGGCCCAGGCTTCCATTTGAAACTTGTGCAAACAGCAAGGACGTCAGAGAGAATTAACTTGGTACTAATTTAGCATTCAATGATATTCAAATGATATTCAATTTATCCTTTTCCAAAGATGGTTGCACGAGTTTCGACCAGCCAATGGCCAAGCTAGGGTGACCGGGAGGCTGCTGGTCCGGTTGCCAGCTAGGCGCAGTGAACTGATTCGAAGCCTTGGTGGCTATGCTTGTCCGTGCACAGCGGTTAATCTGCTGACTCAAAGTACTGGAGTCAGCCCTCAAGTGGACGATGTCCCAGTTGTAGTTGCGTCCTTCTCAGCTCCAGCCTCAACCAACAACCGCACCATTTCGAAGTGGCCTGGGTCATCAACATGAATGGGTGCGGTGCGACCTCTTCAAGGATCGCGTGGAAAGCACGAAGCCTTTCAACTTCGGCCATGTAGCTCCAACATCGTCTCACGGTCGATGAAACGTGCTGCACGCGCTGCATCCAATCCGCCACGCCTGCACATATCGTCATGCGGCCGTCGCCGATTGTGTCGCTCCAATTCGTCTTGGCGGAAACCTTGTGGCTCCGAGCTGAGCTGAGAGGAGCTATTTGAGGTGCCGAGAGGACTGTCCGCTTTCGAGCAGCTTGGCCTCATCCATCTGAGCAAGAGTTTTGACAGACACAGCACGGGTGTTCTGCATCATTGTTTGGCTCTCATACCTGCAATACGTGTCTGAGCCATACAAAGGCACACCCGCTCTCGTCGGGCTGCGACGGTTCACCGGACCGGACCGCACCGACTCTTCGGAGCGAGCGGAGCGAGGTGAAGCCCTTTTGGCCCATTCGATCTCTGTGGGAAAACCGATCGCCCCAAAAACCGTTAAAGGTTATATAATATATATATTATATATATATATATATTATTTATTGTAGAGATGTATATATATTTATATTTATGTATCTACTTTTCCTGGGTAGGACCTGCAGTTGCTTTACCCTTCGCCATACTTGACCCGTCACCGCCGGGGTGCGGGACGCCGGGACAGCAGCCACGAGGCAAGGTGGGTTTGCGAACCTGGAGTCCGATTCGCTTCGAAGCGGCGGGGATTGCCTGAGATTGCCTGCTATGCTCCAGATGTTTGGAGTGTTTGGATGGGTCTGGGATAGGCCACGTCCAGGGTTTGTGAATGCTTCTGAAGAACGTCTAAGAATGCTTTGGTAAGTCTTGGACCACTGGCGAAGTGCTCCGAAGGTTGATTTGGAGGCTGGCTTTGACCACAGAAAGAAGTATTCCAATGGTAGGTCGAACACCTTTTAGGTCCTTCGGGTGATCATCATCAGTGTCCTGGAAAACCTGGTACTGCTTTTCAGAGCCGTTGAGTCCGGTTGGGAAGCTCCAGTTGGACCAGCCGTGGTGGCCCAAACAGGTCTCTCTGACTTTTTCAGCGCCCAACGGGCCCAAGAGGCCAAGCTCTGAGGATGAAGAAGGCCTTTTAGGCTTTTGGAACATGCCACTTTTGAGCATCACAGAAATCAGTCATGAGAAGATCGATGATCATGAACAATTCAAATCACGTTACAATAAATATAGTCAAGTTAACCATAAAGACCAAAGCACATTTCACCCCCAACCCCCCCAAAAAAGGAACAATTCCATCCTCCCATCCGAACCCAGCGTCTCGTTCCTCCATGTTTTCAACCGAAGCGTCCATCTTCGCGGCTTGCGCCATGGCCTGATGAAAGCGCGAAACCTCGGCCTGCGACCATTTGGCGGTCGCTACCCAGCCCATGAGCTGCTCACGGTGCCCACGAAGAAGTCGATGCTCGGAGCAGCACCTGCCGCGTTTCGCCGCGTTTCGTTCGTTCGTCGCCACGCGGCGTTGGACGGGAAAAGGGCCATGGTCTTAGATGGTTTGGGGTGTTTTTTGGTTTGGCCTGAACATGGCTGAACTCAGTGGTTGAAATGATGCAAAATCCACCGATTCTTGTGTTATCCAACTTAGGCAAAGAATGCAAAGGCTACATCCAACTTCACATGACGACCGGCGCCATATGTAATGTAGACTCTTGATAAATAAATGCTTCTAAGGAAGAGCCTCTTCATATCAAGGGGTTGAACTATTGCGAGAGTCTACAATGTATATGCATTACATGTACTGTATATATAAATAATATATAGTGGAAAGGACGCGACTAGGTTGGAGGCCGTCGCTACTAGGTGGAGGGTAGCAAGGACGCTACTAGTAGCTAGGGAAGACTCATCGAACCTCTTAGCCCCAAGGGCCGCCGCCTCTGGAGCCAGTCGCTGACCCGTTCGTGGAGCTCCAGTGGCAAGAGGGCCAAGGCGGGCGCCAAGGTGCAGGCGCCATAGAGGTCCGCCGAGCAGCTCCGCCTGGAAAATCGTGTGAGCACCTCCGCCTGGAAGCATCCTGAACATCAAGGGGTCCAAATAAAAGGTGAAAAATGTATGAATTTTGTGGGTGATTCTTCCGGGGTGCCTTTCACGGGTGCGGGTGATGTGTTCGATTGAAGGGACCAACCATGGTCTTACAGGGAACAACGACATAAAAATAATGAAAGCTAAAAAATTTCTTGTATGATGGCAGTTTTTCCATCTGTTGTCCACCGTTGTGTACTAATTGCCCCCCCACCAGTGGAGCTTTTGCTGGGCCGCAAATCATACGGTATCTCATATCACCAAAAATAGAGTGGACAGAACCTCAGACTGAAGAATGTGTGTCGCTTTCCGTGAGTCTTCAATGTTCTGACCGTACTTACTTTATTCTAAAAATTGGGGTTTGTTGACTTGACTCTGTTGACTGGATTATTCTTAGAAACCATCTTCTTCAAGCATGACTACAATTTATGTGTCCAACATCTTCCTACATCCTTCATAGGTATCTTCAGGAAGCTTCCTTGGGCGCCCGAGGTCAATGCTTGATGAAGGGGAATGGTGCAAACGAATTGGATGGTGAAGTGTATACACTCCCTGGCATCATCACGGAAGTGGAAAACCACCTGTTTGCAAAGGAGAACGATCATGCGAAAACGGGCCATGCCATCCACTTCGTCACGAGAAATTCCAGGGAGTGTAGAACCTCCGAGTTGACCTGGAACCTCCGAGTTGACCCACCCAGAATCAGTAGGAATCAGAAGGATGGTCCCTTCGGCCACTGGTTGAAGGATTTCCACAAAAAAGACCAAGGAAGCACACTGATCGAATGGAAGAGACTCCCCACTCCACTCCGCCCCCTCCCCCCTCCGTCTTCGAGCCGGAGAGCTCTCCCAGAATGAAGGGCCCATGGCTTTCCAGAAACTCTGCAAAGACCTTGGAACCGTTCCCAATCAGCCGTTCCAAGCTTCACCGGGCAAGCGGGACCCTCCGGCAGCTCGATTCCCCGTGCCGTCCCCAAGAGGAAAGCGAGGGTTCTGTTTTATGATGTCTTTTTTGCGCAGGAAGATGCCGGAACATTAGAGCTGACATGAGCACAGAACAAGCATTTCTGGAATGTGCCGAAGTTGTGGAGATGGATGTCTTTTTCCTTTGGGGGGCGCCAATGATCTGTCTAGCCTTGGATAGGTTGAGAGATGTTGGATGGTGACTGTACGGACCCGATCACTTGATGCTTTGGAGGCTACCATGATCATTGGACACTATACAGTCTGGAAGAAATCGATCTTTCACCAGGAAGTGTGCATATATATATATATATGTATTACTATATATCCAAAATGTATACCTAGGACCGTTGTCTCATTTAATGAAGGTACCAGTTGTTTTTCCTTCATCTCCACTCACAACGGCCTTCCTTTTTTTCAAGGTCAGGATCGCACCTGAAAGAATCGAAGAAACAATACAATCGGAAATTGCAGCCTTCAAACAACCAACCTATTGTCTTCAACGTTTAGCTTACACCTCCTCACTAATGTGGAGTTGCATTTGGTATGAAACCTTTGGGAAGCTCGCCAAATCGTGAATCTTTGGCTCGCCGCCACCATCCCAATCCCCACCTCCAAGTGCAAGCGCAGCTGGCAGCAGTGGTTCGCCACCCGTGTCTCGCGGCAGTGCTGCCGCACCGCTTCGCAGCGCACCGGCCAGGCAGAGCGGTCGAAGAGGCCCCGGTTGGGCGACAGAGCGGCGCGCACGTGGGTCTCGAGGCCCTTGAAGAAGTGCACCTTGGAGACGACGGAGAAGTGCACAAGGGGCCAACAAAGCGAACTTCCACACTCTAGAGCACATACGTGAGCACACACAGAAGAGCACACATGTGAGAACACATGACAGCACACATATGTATGAGAGCCACGTATGAGAGCACACATAAACCAACACACATGTGAGGGCGCAATGTGTGAGCACATGGGAGCGGCGCAAAAAAATAAAAAAGAGCCCGCGCACGCGCACCAACACACACAGATGAGACTACACGCGTCAGAGCACAGGTCACATACCGAAGTGCACATATGGGAGCCAACACATGAGGACACACATGTAAGACACAAGAGACCGCAGAGCGACACCAGCCAACGAGACTGCAGTCGAGGAAAGCACTGGCTCAGGGCGAGCCCAGCCCACCAGTGGTCCTGAGAGCCGTCGCGCAGTCGCTGGCTGCACTTCGTGTCGATCCTGAGAGGCTGGCAGTGAAATAGCCGCACACGCCGGTGAGCGCCCTCCCAATCACCACCAGATGTTCGGATTCCCAGCTGCACGCACAAGTCGCACGCATACTCCTTGAATTGAAGGACTCCCTTCCGCAACATGCGTTATTTGACCCCCTTCCATCATCTTCCTAAGTCTTGCCCCATCACCCTCGATTCTTTGCCCAAAAAAAGAGATCACGCCACCGCCACTTGCTGTTCAAGGCACCCAGGCGGTCACTTGCAACTCCTTCTCCGGATCCTTCGGCTCCTCCTCCAGCTGCTCGAGGCACTCGGAGAAGCAACTGGGCCACTCCGTCCCACGCTCCATGCCACGCAGCCAGCGAAAGCAGAGCAAAAGCAATGCAAAAGGCAGCGGCGGGAGCACAAGCACTCCCCACCCTCAACCGGCCCCCAAAACAATAGAACAAATCCGTGCGGCATGTGTCATCCATGATTGATTTCGCTGTGGATTCACGAGGGTTGGAGAGTTCTTGGAGTGCATCCAATGAGGCCTGTGTGGAAAGTGAGAAGCAACTTTGGCTTGTGACATGTTGACGATCCGTCTTTCAAGAAGCCTACTACCTTGCGGAGCTTGGCCTGAGGTGTACACTGAATTGTAACAGGGTTCTACATCCATGCTTCCATGATGCTTCGTGTTTCATTCGCTGAGACTGAGACATCTTCCTAAAGGCCCCAAGAGGGATCATGCCTCCTACACGTGGAGTTCCATGTTGCTTTTCTGTTTGTCCCCCTCGGACCATCCAAATGCGGCGAGACGCCAGCCACTCAAATCAATAGTGAATCAACAGTCCGTTGAAGGCAGAGCTGGTGATGGATCATCGTGGATCGTCGGCCCTGCATTTGGCCCTCCACGGCCGCGTGCCTATGAACCTATGGTGGATGTGCAAGACTATGAACCTGTGAGCGGAACCTGCGTGTGAGTCTATCCCTAGAACCTGCGTCAGTCCCATCATCAACCTGCATAGACCTGCTGGAAAAAGGATCCGATCCGAGCAAAACCATGCAAACACACTCAGAAACGCTTCATTAGATGGAAAAGCATCCGTTGGTGAAACCGAATGAACTAGAGTTAGTGAGCTGCAAAGCTCCATGACATGGTGTTCATATGTTTCCAGGAAACAGGAAACAGTGAATTGTATGTAGTGATGCACTCTTGAAATGTTGCTCAGCACGTCAAAACAAGACTTGACCCTTCCCTGCCTACCACCAGGGCGTGGAAGCAGCCTTGCCACAGATCAGACGCTGTGGTGGGGAAACTCAACATCATGACCAGAATCTTCTGGGAGTTCTCAAAGATTGACTACCCTGCAGCCCCCATTTCATCCCCAAGGTGATAGGGTGTTGTTTCGCATGGGAACTCCAAAATGCCTATAGAAATGCCACAGGTCAAACCCCCTATCGCCATCTCAAATCCTCCAAGATAGGGATTTTCAAAGTCGAACTCTCAGCTGAGAGACACCCATGCTCTGCGCGAAGTTCGTCGATCTTGCTGTCGTTCGTTGTTCTTTTGTCCCAAGTGAGCTGTTCGATGTCTGGTGCAGATCTGATTTCCGATGTCGTTCGAGTGTGGTCAGAAAAAGACCCGTGCGCCATCTGGTGGTTCATCTGGTGAAGGAACGAAAAACCGGCCTTCGTCTTCAAAGATGAATTGGAACAACAGCTCAGTCATCCACATCTGCCCCTCCAATCCGCTACACCTGGGGCAGCAAGGCGGATTGGGAAGAGGTGCGATTCAAGCAGCATCAAGAACCTTTCATGAGTTGCATTACTTGGGTCTATCTTATTACCTTTAACAGTGGATGATGATGGTTAGTTAAATACATCTGCAATCCTAATACATATACATCTGCATTACCTACATCTGCAATCCTAATTGGAAGAGTTCCCTGTTCAACCTGTACTTGCACGTGGTGCAAAATTGGCCATGAGTGCTCCACTCGTGCGTCATGACGATTCCCCCGCAGACCCAGCGGAAGACAGCTATTTGGTGAAGATTCCACTTACAGGTCTGATTCCACTTCATGCAACCGGAGCACGAGTCCAGGTAGCTTCGCATCGTGATGCCACGCGAGACCTTTTGTCCAACGATCCACTCCTGTCAAACTCTCAACACCCCAGGCTTCGTTCGACGGCAGCTGTCGTTGGCTTGTTTGCAGAGCAGTCCAGCAGTCCTTTCCTGTGACCAAAGGGGAAGCAAAAAGGAAACATTGAAATATTTTGAAATACCCTATCGACTCCCTTGACCAATCACATGAATCTTACATCATCAATCAGGAAGCCTGCCAAGCACCCAGCTGCACTCTTGAGGTTTCAAGTGCAGCGAGCGGGTCCTTGTTCCCATTGAACCAGGCCCAGGTGCACTTTTCACCTTGGCGACAGGTCGTCGGTTCGTTCAGGGCGGTTCTGGAGGTCGCAAATTGCCCCCCGCAGCCCCGCTGAAGCTCATGAGCCATGTTGTTCTCCCGAATCACATGGGATTTGGAGTGCTTTTGGCGTAGTTGTCCAATCTCCCCAGCGAAACCTGCAGAAATTACCATCCTCATAGAAATAGAAAGCGACACAAATTGGATCAAATTGTGGAACATTGGCTCAAAAAATCTCAAGATCTATTACTTATAGATTGCTACTTCTAGATCTTCTACTCTGTCCTTCCATTCTGCCTCGCCCAGCGGCCCAGCACCCCGATGGGCAGCATGGAGGGTTGGAAAGCCTCGCGAGCCTTGGTCGATACCCCAACCAGGGAGGGCTGAGTTTAACGAGGGAGACCCGCCACAGACCTCTGGGAAAATCAATAACAAACGAAATCCATCGGTTAGGAGGGTCCCCAACCAAGTGCTCAGTATTGGGTGTGTATTCCGGGAGATCCCCTGGCCTCATGGGAGGTCACACCCATATACCCCCACCGTTCCAAACGAAGTGGATGGGCTTTGCCCTCTTCAAAACCACGGAATCCCAAACCAGGGAGCCCAGGAAGGTCAAACCTTCGAAGGACGTCTTTGCGGCTTCAACATCGTCCCAGGACCGGGCGATTAGGGCCTAGGGCGCTGGTCCTTTGATTCAGTGGTTTTGGACCATGATTTTGAGCCGTTCCCAAGAAGCCAAACTCCCTAAATTGTCCTGGAAAATAGAGGTTGTTTTTGTTTAGTGGGAAATCCAATCATGAAAAAAACTTCAATGGTTATCCACTGACGCCGTAGGAAGTGCTTCTTCTGCCTTTGACTTCTGATTCTGATGAACCTCCCAACCAACCGGACCACCCGAGCTTGGCTCCCTTCTGGGACTGCCATCCAAGACCTGATGGGGTCCGAACAGATCAAAACAAAGTGAGCATTCCATGGCTTTTCATGAATTGTTCATCTGCCTCAAATCCTGCGAAGACGCTCTTTCTTCCATGAACACCGCCGGTGGGTTCCACCCAAACTCGCCTCACGTCACCCCGGGTCCGAGCGCGTCAAGGGCGTCGCACCGAGGCACCGCTTGAGCGCAGGCGCACAGGAAGCCCAAGGCAACCAGCCGCTCCGTCCTGGGCGAGCGAAGAGGAGCGCTTCCAATGGGTGTCCTGTCTGGTGACCTGTCTTCCAATGGGTGTCGGGTTCTCCATGGGTAACCCCGAACGGAAGCGGCTGGTTCCGGATGGAAATGAGCGAGGGGAGAGTAAGCTGCCTCTGAGTGAAGAGATATCAGATATGAGTGACGGTCAAAATTGGTTGTGGAGTTGCAGGTCATCAGGATTTGGTGAGTGTACTATCGTTTTTCACATCGGTCACGTTCTCGTTTTTGGTGAGTGTGTTATCGTTGTTTGGGCAAAACATGCATGTTTGTACAATCATGACCACTCACTGACTATTCTATTCGTCGTGTTCACTAATTTTGAGCATCATAAACTTCAGCAATGAGTCTAGAGTGTTCAGGGTTGGCGTTTCGTTTGCATCTGCCACCTTCACATAGTTCGAAGCACTCTTGCGTCTGCAAGGAAAACGGCGCTAAACTTTGGGGGATTATGTGGGATTACAATTGCATGGTCTGTGATTCAGAGTCTGTGCATGTGTGATGTGGGATCGGCCTTGCACCTCGGAACTCACCGATCAGAGCCATCAGAGCGCACAGAACGGAGAACTGCTGACGTCCCAAATGGAGAAACCCGGAGTTCCAATATGGACATGGAGGGACCCGAAATTCGGAACTCAGACGAAGCGATGGAGGACCAATCGATGTGTCGGCGAAGAAGCCCAGCTTTGGAGCGTAGAATACGGTGTTTATGGGGATAGCGGTAGACATCTGAACAAGTCTCTGAGACATCTTCCGCCAGATGTTACAGAAAATGCTTTCTGATTGAATGAAGATGGTGGCAGGAAAGCATGAACATGTCCAGATTTGATATAGGTTTGATTTTTGAGACTCTGAGATCTCTGAGCAACGATGGCGTACCAAGTACCAAGCTACCAGAAAGCGTCTCTCTTCATCTCTCTTATCCAAGACGGACCCTGACGGTCTTTCTCGGCTCGGGGCGGTCTTCACGGTTGGGGGGGCCGTCTGCGGAACATGGCTACAACACCGTGTAAAGGATCGCGGTGGAAGTCAAGTTAAGTCCAAGAATATCAGTTGCGTGTTGTCATACGAAGAACACGGTGAATGTCAATACGCGAAGCGCAAAGCATGTGAAGGATCGCGCTCTTCTGAAGTATCTCCCTTTTCTGGAGTATCTCCCTCATTTAATGTGAGTCGCACGTGTCAACCCATGGCAAGCAACACACTTTCCCTGATCAAACTCTTGGTTTGCAAAATGTCTTGGAATAATCTAAGGTATCTCCCAACCTTTCTACGTGGAAGGGTGTCCTCTGAGATATCCTCCTCCCGCCCAATGGAGCTTTGCAAGCAAATGCTCAAGGTAAGAATGCTCCCCCAAGGGAGTGATTTGTAAGTATCGTTTATCCGGAACATTCGAGAGACCGAAACCTCGAAACACGTGGAAACTCAGAAACTCCCAACTCCGAACCTCATGAAGTGGCAGCGGCGTGGCAGCGGCCCGGCAGAACCGATTTGGCACAGACTTGGGCTCAAGGCCTTCACCCACTAAAAGAAGGGGGTCACATGGCGGTCAAAACCGGGGCACCCTTGTTGACCTACCAGGGGCTAGGGCGGCTAGGGGGTTAGGGGTTTTGACCCAACCCCACACAGAACAGTCCCAGCGACAAAAGGACGATCGTTGGCAAAGCTTGAGTCAAGACGCCTGCGGCGCACGCCCGAAACATCGGGTGTCAGGGTATGGCCGCAAATATGATGTGTCTCGGGATGGATGGAAAAGAAACACATATGAAAACCATTCTATATAGAATGAATGTTGAAATGGAGTCCAGAAAAAAAAAATATATATATATATACGTATATATATATATACTATATATATA